TGTGTGGACGTAAGTTTTCAGCCCCTTTGAGTAAATGCCAAGGAGGCCTGATTGCTGGATTATATGGGAATAGTGTGTTTAGTTTTGCCAAAAACTAAACTATATTCTATATAGTTTAGAATATAGTTTCCAAACTATATTCTAAATTAGCTGTATCATTTTACCCTTCTACCAGCATATCCTCCTCAGGATGTGGTGGTATAAGTGTTTTGGGTTTTTTGCCATCCTGATAGGTGTGTAGCAGTATCTCACTGTTTTAATTTGTGATTCTCTAATGGCATATATGTTGGCCAACTTTTCATATGCTCGTTTGCTGTTGGTATATCTTCTTTGGTTAGGTGTCTGTTCAGATCTTTTGCCCATTTAAATATTGGGTTGTTTTCTTATTCAGATCTAGAGTTTTTTTTTTTCTTCATGTGACTGTGTCTTTTGCAAAAGTATCTCCCAGTCTGTGTTGTCTTTGTCTTTTGATAGTGTCTTTCACAGGGCAGAAGTGCTTAATTTAAATGGGATTTTGATTGCAATTATCTTTAGTTTGTATATCAAATTAGGAAGAACTTCTTGACAGTATTGTGTCTTCATATCCGTGAACATGGACCATCTCCATTTATTTAGTTATTTGATTTCTTCACAGTTTTAGTAATTTTCCTCATATGCAACTTGTAAATATTTTGTTAGATTTATTCCTATTTCTTTCTCTTGATTTTGTGTGTGTGTGTGTGTGTGTGTGTGTGTGTGTGTAAGTGGTGTCTTTTTAGTTCTAAATTCCATTTGTTTATTGCTGGTATATAAGAAAGTGACTTCAGATCTTTTAAGTATTTGCTTATTTGTGATTTAAACAATTTTTAAGGCCGGGTGCAGTGTCTCACACCAGTCCCAGCACTTTGGGAGACCAGCATGGGTGGATTATTCTGAAGACCAGCCTAGGCAATGTGGTAGAACACCATCTCTATTAAAAAAAAAATACAAAAATTAGCCAGGTGTGGTAGTGTGCACCTGTGGTCTCAGCTACTCAGGAGGCTGAGGTGGGAGAATTACTTTAGCCCAGGAAGTGGAGGTTACGGTGAGCTGAGGTCACACCACTGTACTCCAGCCTGGGTGACAGAGCAAGACCGTGTCTCAAAAGAAAAAAAATTGCTCTGGTGCCGTGACTCATGCCTGTAATCTTAGCACTTTGGGAGGCTGAGGCAGGCAGATCACGATATTAGAAGTTAGAGACTAGCCTAGCCAATATGGTAAACCCTGTCTCTACTAAAGAAATACAAAAATTAGCCAGGCGTGGTTGCGTGTGCCTGTAGTCCAAGCTACTCATGATGCTAAGGCAGAAGAATCACTTGAACCGGGAGGCCAGTGTTGGTGTGAGCCAAGATCGCACCACTGCACTCCAGCCTGGGTGACAGAGCAAGACTCAGTCTCAAAAAAAAGAAAGGGCCGGGTGCTGTGGCTCACGTAATCCCAGCGCTTTGTCAGGACAAGGTGGGCGGATCACAAGGTCAGGAGAGTGAGACCGTCCTTGCCAGCATGGTGAAACCCTGTTTCTACTAAAAATACAAAAATTAGCTGGGCTTGGTGGTATGCACCTTGTAGTCCCAGCTACTTGGGAGGCTGAGGCAGGAGAATGGCTTGAACCTGAGAGGCGGAGGTTGCAGTGAGCCGAGATTGTGCCACACTGCACTCCATCCTGGCGACAGAGTGAGACTCTGTCTCGAAAAAAAAAAAAAAATCAATTTTCTTCTCCTTAAAAGTATTCTTTTTTTAATAGTTATTTGTCATTAGGCTCCTGGTAGTTTAGTTTTCCTTTATTGAGCCTTTCATCTCATTTTGAAATACTAGGTAATAGTTTTTTGGGCATGTATGGAGTATGCTTTTATTGGAACTTCTTAAAACAATTATCGGATTTGACTTCAGTACTTTTTTCTGTTCATTTTCTTTTCTTTTTTTTTTTTTTTGAGACGGAGTTTCGCTCTTGTTACCCAGGCTGGAGTGCAATGACGCGATCTCAGCTCACCGCAACCTCCGCCTCCTGGGTTCAGGCAATTCTCCTGCCTCAGCCTCCTGAGTAGCTGGGATTACAGGCACGCGCCACCATGCCCAGCTGATTTTTTGTATTTTTAGTAGAGACGGGGTTTCACCATGTTGACCAGGATGGTCTCGATCTCTCGACCTCGTGATCCACCCGCCTCGGCCTCCCAAAGTGCTGGGATTACAGGCTCGAGCCACCGCGCCCGGCACTTTTCTGTTCATTTTCATCTGAATTCAGTGTTTCTAATCTTTTAGAAGGAGATGTGACTTAGGGTAGTTTTACTAATGTCTATGCTCCCTTTCCCGTAGTTTTCAGAGTGTTCACAATTTTGGGAACTTACTTTCTGAGACTTTCTGGTTCTGTCCCCCGCTCTCATTTTTATCTTTTTTCCTTTATATTTTTTATTCCTGTTCTAATTTTAATTCCATTTTTGGAGCTTTTTTGTCAGAGTGGGACCTTGGCTGGTCAGTTTGGAGAGTCCCTGGGACAGAGGGACTCTGTTGTTGTTGTACTCTTTCATTTCAGGCGTAACTGTGGACACTGTACTTACTTGTTACTCGCTGGGACTACATTCCCCTTGGTTGTAGGGATGTTCTGAAATTGGTGCCTTCCAGTGTATACCCGTGGGTTTCCCTCTTTTCAGTTCCATTAAACACATTTACATTTAATGCAGTTATTGATATGATTAGGGTCAAATAAGTAATACTGTACCATTTCACTTAACAAAAGTCTTGTAACAATATATAGGCAGCCTCTAACATACAGTGGTTCAACTTTATGATAGTATGGTGTTGTGCATTCAGTAGAAACCATAATTTGAGTACCCATACAACCATTCTGTTTTTCACATTCAGTAAAGTATTCAGTCATTACATGAGATACTCAACACTATTAAAAATCTGCTTTTTTTTTTTTAAATTTTGAGACGGAATCTTGCTCTGTCGCCCAGGCTGGAGTGCAGTGGAGCGATCTCAGCACACTGTAACCTCCGCCTCCCAGGTTCAAGCGATTCTCCGGCCTCAGCCTCTGGAGTAGCTGGACTACAGGTGCGTGCCACCACACCTGGCTAATTTTTTGTATTTTTAGTAGAGATTGGGTTTCACTGTGTTAGCCAGGATTGTCTCAATCTCTTGACTTCATGATCCGCCTGCCTCGGCTTCCCAGAGTGCTGGGATTACAGGCGTGAGCCACTGAGCCCAGTCAAAAATAGGCTTTGTGTTAGATGATTCTGCCCACGTGTAGGCTAATGTAAATATTCTGAGCACATTTAAGGTAAGTTAGGTTGATGTTTTTTTTTTTTCTTTGAGATGGAGTTTCGCTTGTTACCCAGGCTGGAGTGCAATGGCGCGATCTTGGCTCACCGCAACCTCTGCCTCCTGGGTTCAGGCAATTCTCCTGCCTCAGCCTCCTGAGTAGCTGGGATTACAGGCACGCGCCACCATGCCCAGCTAATTTTTTGTATTTTTAGTAGAGACGGGGTTTCACCATGTTGATCAGGATGGTCTCGATCTCTTGACCTCGTGATCCACCCGCCTCGGCCTCCCAAAGTGCTGGGATTACAGGCTTGAGCCACCACGCCCGGCAATGTTTTTTTTTAAGATGGGGTTTCACCATGATGGCCAGGCTGGTCTTGAACTCCTGACCTCAGGTGATCCACCCACCTCAGCCTCCCAAAGTGCTAGGATTACAGGCGTGAGCCACTGTGCCCGGCTAGGTTGATGTTTTTATTATGTCCTAACCCCATCGTAAGTTGAGGTGCACCTGTATTTCTGTGTCTCCTCTTCTGGCCTCTCTGCTATTGTAGTCATGTATTTTATTTCTACATATGGTATAAGTCTCAAAATACATGGTTATTTTACTTTAAACATTCAAGTAATAGGAAATTGGTTAGTATTTCCCCGTATACTTAGCATTTCTGTTGTTTTTCATTTCTTTGAGTGCAAGTTTCTGGAATTTTCCTTCTGACGAAAAGACTTGTAATGGGGTCTGCCAGTTGTTTGTGTATGTGTGTGTATTTTAGGTTTTATGTCTGGAAAAGCCTTTCTGTTGACTTATTTTTGGAAGAGATTTTTGCTGAGCATAGAAATCTAGGTTGACAGTTTATATCTTTCAGTACTTTGTTTTCTTTCTTTTTAAATTAAGATTTTTTTTTTTTTCCGGGATGGAGTCCTGCTCTGTTGCCCAGGCTGGAGTGCAGTGGCGCAGTCTCGACTCACTGCAGCCTCCGCCTCCCAGGATCAAGTGATTCTCCTGGCTCAGCCTCTTGAGTAGCTGGGATTATTGGCGTGTGCCACCATGCCCAGCTAATTTTTGTATTTTTCGTAAAGATGGGGTTTTACCATGTTGGCCAGGCTGGTTTCAATCTCCTGACCTTGTGATCTGCCTACCTGCCTTGACCTCCCAAAGTGCTGGGATTACAGGTATGAGCCACTGCACCTGGCCAAGAAAAATTTCTTAAGAGACAGGTTCTCATGTTGCCCAGGCTGCAGTGCCAGGGCTGTTTATAGGTACTGTTGTGATACACTGCTGCCTCAAACTCCTGGCCTCAGGGAATCCTCCTGCCTTCCAAGTAGCAGTGATGACCTGGAAGGTGCACATCACAGTGAGCCCTTCCATGCTGCTCTGTGGCCTTCTGGTGTGCATTGTTTCTGAGGAAAGGTCATTCCTGTCCTTGTTTCTTTTATGTTTTCTTGTTTTCGGTGGCTGCTTTAAGAGTCTCTTCATTGCTAGGTTTTTTTTTTTACATCTTTGCAGATTTATTTCTATGCACACATACATGTACAAATATTTTTACAATAGGGTCATACCATAAATACCACCTATAATGGTATCTCAGTTGTCAATATATGTGTGTATAAATAAGATTCTGTAGCCTTCCACTGTGGATGTACCAAAATTTAATTCTCTGTCACTGGACACTTGTTTCACTAATATGTAGACACTGTGTAAGCAATGTCTCAACATCTCTGCACCTCTATTTTTGGCATAAGTATTTCCTTAGGATAAAGTCCCAGAAATGGAATTGCAAGGTGTAAAAGATTATTAACATATCTGAAGGCTTTAAGATGCTCTTATGGTGTATTTGTTACATCTTGCTTCCACACAAATTCTTCTGTATAGCCAATACCCAAACTGCAGCTCTCAGCACAGGTGAAGACAGCCAGGATGCCCCAGTCAATGCTCTTGCCCAGTCTGTCAGCCTTCAGGTAGTTTAGGAGCTGAGGCATGACCTGGAACTCAAATATTCTCTTGGCACCACAGGGGCAATCTGGAATATCCTTTTCTTGAGGAATATTTTCACCAGAAATCCAGATGGGGGTAATACCTCTGCCATATCTGAGAATCTGTTCTGGTTCAAGGGCTATCTGAGTTTTAAACTTCTGAAAAATTTTATCTTCCCTGGATTCATGTTTTGCCATGGAATCCAGTTCTTCCTCAAGTGCTTCACCCATACTCCCTATAATCTCTGAGTAATCTTCCTTTTCCACAACCTCAGGCAACATTTCATCTACTGTTTCTATTACAATTTCAGATTCTGGAAAAAGGAAGTTGTGGTCTGGAATTACATGGTCCAAATGATCTGGTTGTGCACAAGCCTGCTTATGTCCCAGTCTCCAGTCTAGGGTCTGATGCTCCTTGCTGCAGTAATACACTTTGTAGCATCTGGAACACGTTTTGGGGCCTAAACAGCCACAAACCCTGCATAGATGAGCACCAGACTTAAGTTGGAGACACACTGATTCGGTTTTTGGGGGAGGATTCTCAGACGGTGGCTCATATGAATAAAAATCATTTTTCCTGGGTAGCTGATTCCTAAAAACTTGCAGGCCGGAACAGCATGGCGGCTTGCGCTAACAAAAAAAGCCATTGCTAGTTTTAAGTAGTGTGATAATGATGTGTCTTGGTGTAGTTTTGTTTTGTTTTGTTCTTTCATTTTTCTTGTGCCGCTTAGGTTTTGTTGAGCTCTTGGCTATTGGGTTTATGGTTTAGGTTACTATTTTTCAAGTAGTTTTTTTTCTGCCTCCCTACCTCCTCTCCTTGGGGAGTACAGTTGCTTGTATTTTAGGCTACTTGAAGTTGTCTTATAGCTAACTAATGCTATGTTTTATTTTATTCTTTTTATTTATTTATTTTTTTTGAGACAGAGTTTCACTCTTGTTACCCAGGCTGGAGTGCAATGGCGCGATCTCGGCTCACCGCAACCGCTGCCTCCTGGGTTCAGGCAATTCTCCTGCCTCAGCCTTCTGAGTAGCTGGGATTACAGGCACGTGCCACCATGCCCCTCTAATTTTTTGTATTTTTAGTAGAGACAGGGTTTCACCGTGTTGACCAGGATGGTCTCGATCTCTTGACCTCGTGATCCACCTGCCTTGGCCTCCCGAAGTGCTGGGATTACAGGCTTGAGCCACCGCACTCGGCCTGCCATGGATGTTTTTTATATCATTCATGCCTTTACTTAACATTTTTCCTCTACTTTTTAAAGTATATTTAATACAGGTACCTCTTAATGTCCTCATCTACAGATTCTGTCATCTTTTTCATTTCTTGGTTGGTTTTAATTTCTGTCTTGTACTTTATGTGCCTGGTAATTTTTTTTTTTTTTTTTTTTTGAGACGGAGTTTCGCTCTTGCTACCCAGGCTGGAGTGCAATGGCGCGATCTCGGCTCACCGCAACCTCCGCCTCCTGGGTTCAAGCAATTCTCCTGCCTCAGCCTCCTGAGTAGCTGGGATTACAGGCACGTGCCACCATGCCCAGCTAATGTTTTGTATTTTTAGTAGAGACGGGGTTTCACCATGTTGACCAGGTTGGTCTCGATCTCTCGACCTCGTGATCCACCCGCCTCGGCCTCCCAAAGTGCTGGGATTACAGGCTTGAGCCACCGCGCCCAGCCTGTGCCTGGTAATTTTTTTATTGGACTCAGTATATTGTGCATTTTACCTTCTTTGGTGACTAGATATTTTTGTATGCCTAGAAGTACTCTTGAGCTTTCTTCTGAGATACTGTTAAATTATTTGGACAGTTTGATTCACTTAAAGCTTACTTTAAAGTAATACTCCTGAATGAATACTCTATTAAGTTTTCTACTCTGACTGATTGAATACAAACTATAGCAAACTATTCCTAACTCATGTGATCCCCAATAATTGTTTCCTCTCTGCCTTTTTTTTTTTTAGACGGGATTTCGTTCTTGTCGCCCAGGCTGGAGTGCAATGGTGTGATTTCGGCTCATTGCAACCTCTGCCTCCCAGGTTCAAGTGATTGTCCTGCCTTAGCCTCCCAAGTAGCTGGGATTACAGGCACCCACTACCACACCCGGCTAATTTTTTGTATTTTTAGTAGAGACCAGGTTTCCCCATGTTGGCCAGGCTTGTCTCGAACTCCTAACCTCAGGTGATCCAACCACCTCGGTCTCCCAAAGTGCTGGGATTACAGATGTAAGCCGCTATGCCTAGCCCCCTCTGCTATTTGTCTCTACCCCATCCTTGGTCCCTGGCCTCAGGTTATTTCTCTCATGCATTTGCTGTGCAGTCAAAGACTCAGGAGGCAGGGCCTCATCATTTTCAGCTCTCCAGAGCTTTGTATCTGTAGCTGTCTCCTTTTTGGCAATCTGTCCTGTGGAAGTGAGCCACCTTGGCCTCTCCATACTCCCAGCTTCGTTTCCTCAACTTACGTATTATGTAGACCACTTGGGTTCCATCCCTCTGCCCTTCTGTCAGGAAAGTTCTAGTACGCTGGAACCGTGATAACTGCTCACTTTGTGGTTTCCCATCACTGTCCTGTGCCGTGTGGTGTATAGTGTCTAAAAAATGATTTTTAAATATATTTTGTCTGGTTTTTAGTTGTAGTAGGCAGGAGGATAAATCCAGTTCCTGTTATTCTCTCTTGTCCAAAAGTTTAGTAAGCCTCCCATAGATTTTCTTTTTTTTTTAAAGAGGGTATCTTGTAACTTCAGTGTCTGAATCTTCTGGGGTTTCCTTTGGTCCGTAATTTTTATTGAATGCTGGAAATGGTAGAATGTGTTGGTGTTCTCTTCCTTAGGAGTGAATTTAGGCCGGGCGCTGTGACTCAAGCGTGTAATCCCAGCACTTTGGGAGGCCAAGGCGGGCGGATTACGAGGTCAAGAGAATGAGACCATCCTGGAGAATATGGTGAAACCCCATCTCTACTAAAAATATAAAAATTAGCTGGGCGTGGTGGCATGCGCCTGTAGTCCCAGCTACTTGGGAAGCTGAGGCAGGAGAATTGCTTGAACCTGGGAGGTGGAGGTTGCAGTGAGCTGAGATTGTGCCACTGCACTCCAACCTGGAGACAGAGTGAGACTCTGTCTAAAAAAAAAAAAGGATTTTTTAGGCTGGGCGCGGTGGCTCACGTTTGTAATACTAGCACTTTGGGAGGCTGAGGTAGGTGGATTACCTGAGATCAGGAGTTCAAGACCAGCCTGGCCATCATAGTGAAACCCCATCTTATTTAAAAAAAAAAAAAAAAAAAATTATTTTTGTGTTTCTCAGGAAATTGTGTAAGGGGCCGATGACCTTAATCTAATTAGGATTTCAGCATGGCACCATGGCTCATACTTGTAATTCCAGCACTTTAGGAGGTCTTGGCAGGCGCATCACCTGAGATCAGTTCAAGATCAGCCTGGCCAACGTGGTGAAACCCCATTTCTACTAAAAATACAAAAAGATTAGTTGGGTGTGGTGGCAGGCACCTCCCAGCTACTCGGGAGGCTGAGGCAGAATTCCTTGAACCCGGGGCGAGGACAGGGTGGAGGTTACAGTGACCCAAAATTATGCCATTGCACTCCAGCCTGGGCAACAGAGCAGGACTCTGTCTCAAAAAAAAAAAAAAAAAAAAAAAAAAAAAAAAAAAAAAAAATGGGCATGGTCACTCAACACCTGTAATCCTAGCACTTCAGGAGGATCACCTGAGGCCAGAAGTTCGAGACCAGCCTAGCCAACATGCTGAAACCCTGTCTCTAATAAAAATAGAAAAAAATTAGCTGGGCATGGTGGCAGTCACCTGTAGTCCTAGCTACTCGGAAGGCTGAGGCAGGAGAATCACTTGAACCCAGGAGATGGAGGTTGCAGTGAGCAGAGACCATGCCACTGCTCTTCACCCTGGACAACAGAGTGAGACTCTGTCTCAAAAAAAAAAGAATAATAATAATTAGTGTTTCATTGAATTTGAATCAGATGTTCAGTGCATGTGAGGGTTGGCTTCTTGCTGGGTCACCCCATTCCATTTGTAGCTCTCAGCTGTGTAAGATGACTTTAATAAGTTCCACTCAGTTCCTTATACTCTGATTTCCAGCTTTTGGCTCATCAGCTTGCCTCTTAGCTGCTGCTTGTGATTCTGTCTGTTCTTCGAGAGGTAAAGTGGTGGAATGTGTCCTGCTTAATACCTCTCTGTGCTTCCCTTCTCTCCAGGTTATTTGTCACACCTTTGCTGCCTTTTTAGTTCTCTGGTGCTTTTGAAGTTGTACTTTTGTGGGGTTTTAAAAAATCTAGTTTTTCTTTCCCTCAGTGGGATGGTTGGTCAACACAAACAACTCTTGTTACAGGAAGCTGAAATCAGACATAAACAAGCTTTAAAATACTGCCTGAAGACCTGAAAATACCAAACTACTCTTCTGTTTGTTTATATTACATGGAGACAGTATTGTGGTCACCTGCTTTTGAGGTACATCTGTATCCCACAACCGCTGTACTTGTTCCAGGCCCTTGAGATGGCATTGTAGGGCAGAGAAATGTGTTAAGCAGAGCCATGCTCAGGAAGCTTCTAGGAAATAGACACTTGGGTCTGAACTCCTCGGTAGTCACTATATGATCTCTGAATCAGGTGCCATGGCTGTAGTCCCCACCTTTGCCTTGGTTTGCTTTGTGGCATTCTCCAACATTTGGAAGCCTTTAAACAGCGAGAGTGTTGGCTCTATTTACATTTATTTTTCCATGAAAGAATGATAGACCAAATCTCTCAAATTCTAGATCATAGTCTTCCAAGGTTGTTTTAAAAAGAGAATATTGTATGTAGCTCTATTTATTTATTTATTTATTTATTTTGATAGTCTTGCTGTGTCAGCCAGGCTGGAGTTCAGTGGCACAATCTTGGCTCACTGTAACCTCCACCTCCTGGGTTCGTGCCATTCTTCTGCCTCAGCCTTGCGAGTAGCTGGGACTATAGGCCCACACCACCATAACTGGCTAATTTTTTGTATTTTTAGTAGAGACAGGATTTCACCATGTTGGCCAGGCTCGTCTCAAACTCCTGACCTCAAGTGATCTGCCTGCCTTGACCTTCCAAAGTGCTGGAATTACAGGTGTGAGCCACTGAGCCCAGGTGCTTGTTGGTTTTTTTCTATATCAGCAAATGCACAGTTACTTTGATTTCCTGGTAGGTATACTAATTACACCTAGTTCGTAGGGTTTGCTAATCACTCACCCGATTTCAGAAAGCACAAGTTAATTCCTCTTGTCTCCTGGCAATTAGCAATAAAAGATACTGGGTATTTTAGAATGAGATCACTTTTCAAAACAGGGCTGTTAATGTAGGTCGGGATAATCCCAGCCTTTGTTAAGTCACTAAGTTGCTGAAAAATAAGCAAATTGGCCAGGTTCAGTGGCTCACGCCTGTAATACCGGAACTTTGGGAGGCCGAGGTGGGCGGACCATGAGGTCAAGTGTTCAAGACCATACTGGCCAACATGGTGAAACCCTGTCTCTACTAAAAAAATACAAAAATTAACTGGTCATGGTGGCTTGTGCCTGTAATCCCAGCTACTTGAGAGGCTGAGATAGAAGAATTGCTTGAACTGGGACCCAGGAGGTGGAAGGTTGCAGTGAGCCAAGATCATACCACTGCACTCCAGCCTGGGCTACAGAGCGAGACTCCATTTTTGGCTGCTTATGAATATGTACAGTTTTGTGGGAGGAGAAGTAGATAGATATCACAAGATTATCAAAAGGTGACTTCCTTTTGTTCATTGATTTCTTTCAGAAAATTAGGATTCTTAGTTTCTTGTATTGCATACTTCCATGCTAGAGATTTATCTTTCTCTAGTACGTATGTTCTTTTACTTCTGTAACTGATCTTTTTTTTCTTTTCTTTTTCTTTTTTTTTTTTTTTTTTGACACAGAGTCTCATTCCATCGCCAGGCGCCAGGCTGGAGTGCAGTGGCGCAATCTCAGCTCACTGCAGCCTTCGCCTCCTGGGTTCATGCAATTCTCCTGCCTCAGCCTCCTGAGCAGCTGGGACTACAGGCGTGTGCCACCACGCCCAGCTAATTTTTGTATTTTTAGTAGAGATGGGGTTTCACCATGTTGGTCAGGATGGTTTTGATCTCTTGACCTCATGATCTGCCCACCTCGGCCTCCCAAAGTGCTGGGATTACAGGCGTGAGTCACCGCGCCCAGCCTGTAACTGATATTTTTTAATGAAAATAAGTGCCACATTTTGAAATTTGCTTTTTTTGCTTCATTTGTTGTGAACATATTTCCACATCAGTGCGTATAACTGTTTCATTCTAAAAGGGAAT